ATTCAATGCTAGAGGAGTATAAACATGTAAAGAAAGCAACCTTGGATGTCAGTGAGGAGGTTTGAAGTTCTTTAAAAGTATGTAGGATCACTATACGACCCACCTATATCACTCTTGATATATATCAAAAGGGCTTTAAGTCAACACACTACAGATATGGTAACACATCCATGGTTACTGCCTCACAATTGACAGTTTTTAGGATATAAAATCAACCTAAACATCTGCCAGTATTTGAACAGATAAAATGTAGTATATGCCTACAATAAAATTTTATTTAGCTATATAGAGAAATGAAATTGTGAGGTTTTCAAGTAATGGGTGAATGTTCATGTGAAGTGATATAAGCCAGACTCAGAACAAAAAATGTGACATATTTTTCTCATATGTTTACTCATGATTTAAGTGGGCACTGTGACAGGGAGGAAGAGATCTTATGGGCGATGGAAGATAGAACAATGGGATACACGTGGCAAGAAAGCAGGGAGCCAGCTCAGGAGGAGGAAGGAGACAAAAGGAGAAAGGGAGAAAGATGGGAGGGAGCAGCGGGGATGAAGAACGGGTTAGAAAGTAAAGTGGGGTGTGAGTGTGTGTGAGTGTGTGTGAGTGTGTGTGTGTGTGTGAGTGAGAGTGAGAGAGAGTGAGAGAGAGAGAGCAATTGTTCCATGTGGTGAATTTAAAAAAAGAAAAAACATAAAGTTAAGATAAAATTAATAGCTTTCATGTGACAAAAGTAGTCACCTCATTAATACTGAACAAAATTCCATCTATAATAGCAGCAAAGCAGTACATTTATTCCTTAGGATAGTGTCCTTAGGAATAAATGTCACAAATATATGAAAAAAAAAACTTTACAAGACCACTGCATCACACAAAACTAGATTTGAACAAAATAAAAACATTTCTTTACTTGGATGTGAAAAATTAGCATTATAAAGATAGCAACAATGCCATACCAACAAAAGCATCAACATAATTGCTTTCATAGAATATGGTCAGTTGATGCTAAAACCAAACATGAAAGAACAGCCATAAATATGCACAAAAAACTATAAAGATGAACTGTCCTATATGATACTAAATAATAAAGTCTCTATAAAACCAAGTGTTACTGTCCCAAGAACAGATATACAGTGAATAGGAAAAGTCCTAAATTCTGTCTAAATATATATATAAATAAGGTTGGTACATTATATTAATATTAGTATTAGCTTGAACCATTGAATAAATGTTGCTGACCCAATGAGACAGCCACTTCCAAAACAATAATGAAATCAGATCCATACATCCCACCATATATAAAAATAAACCTTTACTTTTTTCACTTTGCATCCCTAGTTCTACACACACACACACACACACACACACACACACACACACACACACACACACACAGTTTTTTGAGACAGGGTTTCTTTGTATATATTCCTGGCTGTCCTGTAACTCTCTTCTCTCTGTTTACCATGCTGACCTCAAACTCACAGAGACCTGCCTGATTAAAGGCATATGCCGCCACCCCCAGGCTAACATCCTAGTTCTTTAGGCCATTGCACTTAGGAACATGGAAAAGGTTTTCCTCAGTCATCAACAAACCAAATACAAAGGAAAACAAACTCTAAGTCCTCACAGTAATAGGAGGAAGAAGTATATCAATTCCTCTATCAACTCACTGTAATGGAGACACTTTCCAATGCTTTTATAAAATTCATTGACAATTAAAAGAAGATTGATGAATTTACTTTCATATATTTTTCAATTGCACATGGTAAAATATAATTGTATAATGGTCAAAACAGAGAAAAACTTTAACAACACATAGCATATTTAAAGGGCTAAAATCTCTATCGCATACACAACTTTTCAAATTTGAGGGAAAACAACAGAAGACAAAGAATTCTGAAAGAAACACAGAAAAGACCACTGGGGTGGGGGGGGTCAATCATCAATGAGAGACAGAGGGAGAGAGGAGAAAGGGAAGGAGAGAAATTGAAAACTGAAAACATACTAAGGCAGCGGGCATTGTTGTATAATAAAAGAAAGCAGATCCACTTGTTAATTGAATGTGCTGACAGACACTGATACCTACCCATTCGCCATCTGAAGCAATTGATGTCTCAAAAGTCTGCCTCTGAGGATTGGCCTGTCTGCTCTCTGCAGTTGGGGACATTTCTAATTTACACAGTCTGGGAATCAGGTCAATAATGATTGCTTCAGAAAACTTTAAAAAGCATTAGTAATATAAAAATAAGAAAACCAGCCCAAGAATGGTTGAAAGGCAGTCTGTGATTGCAGAACACTTTCCTCATTGTCCATGGACTTGGGACAGAGAACAATAAAGTGATGATGGAGGAGGCGGAGCCAAAAGATCTCAGCCTGTAAGGTTCTAGCCCAACCATGACGGATGAGTGTGGGGGTCAGATGAGTCCAGGCATCTGCTTACAAGTTGACTAACTCACAGATCCACATCCAGGACCCCAGTCTGGGACAGAGGAAGGAGAGCAGATGTCTGACAAGCTTATAAGAGAAAACATACAACTATCTGGATCCCATTTTACAAGCAATAAAAGGCCGTGAAATGAAACAATTTTATTATCTTTAATAATATCCTGCTTTACTCTTATATTTCTAGGGAGTTTCAATGAGAGCAATGAGATTTAGTTTACTTGTTCAAATCTTGGCATCCACTTTTATATTTTACTATGTAAGTTCTTATTCCAAATATGCTAAATTATAATAAAATAACAGGTGATCATTTGAGACTTGTGGAAAATGGTTAAAATGAGACTAAGAAAGTAGTTTCTAGTCTTATTAACAATAATAAATTTTGCAAGGTACTAATGTACACCTCTAACTGTCTGTTTTGTGCTACACTGGGTAAAAGAAAGAGGAATGTAAAATAATGGGGCAAGAGGAAGCACTGTGATTTTTTTTCCATTTTAATACAGACATTTTCATTTGAAATGAGCAGGAATTAAGGGGAATATATCAAATTCAATGTAACATATCCCAGTTCAATTGCCAGTTCACACAGCTGATTCTGTCTGAGACACAGCCATGGCCAGGTGTTTTCTTGAGTCTTCCAAGGCCCGTCAAAGACAAGGTCAGCAAGCCGACCCACACAAGTTTCAGTATATGCTGACATCATCCATGTTCACAAACTCTTGGTGAAGGACACAGGGTGATATAGCTGGGCTTTGCTTTCTGGAAAACTATTCTAAAGACAGAAAATGTGACGGGCCCACTAGTCTGCCTGGTCACTGTGGTAAAACAACTTATTTTTCTCAGTAACTGCAGACTTCAGTTCATACTTGATCCTTCTGATATGGTGAGAAGGCAATATTCTAAGGGTTTTAGTTTCTTTTTTCTAGATCACATTTTTTCTTGCCATTTATTCATATTCATATAATCATCAATTATTCTCCTTTTCTACTGTTCATATATGATGTTGTAAATAATAGGACAACAATATTTCAAAATACACTATCATCCCAGCACACAAACACTAAGAAGATTTTTATATATGCATATATATATAATTTAGTTTACAAGAAATGAGTAAGTAAAAATGACCACTCAATGGAGAATTTTGTATCTGATATTTAGTGCCTTTCTGTGTGTTTACCATTTGAGTGTGAAATGTATCATCAAAATTGATGTGTTGAAGATTTGTTCCCCAAAGCAATGCTGAGCCTGAAGATTAGATAGATCATTATAGCTCTGACCCAGTCCATGAACACAGTCATGGTCTGGTGGTGTCACTGAGGTGAAAACTAGGGATGGGTGAGGCCATGTTGTAAGCAGTGGACCACAACCCAGATGCTTCAGAGGCTGCCAGTTTCCAAATCCACTCACCTTCTCTCTGCTTTCTGACTACCCCATGATGAGATTTTCCTTCTACCATGTTCTGTGTCATCACCGGCCCCAAGATAAAGCCTAGTGAAGATAGACTGGCAGTTCTGAAACTGGGGGTACAACTAAACCCTTTCTCCTATAACTTGTTTTAATCTGGCATGTTGTCAGTTACCAAAAGTGACTGACATACCGTATCTGCCTTAAAGTTGCTTCTGAAGGATCTAGATCATTTCATTAAAAACAGCAAACACCAAATATTGATATTCTGACAATAGTCAATGTGGCAGCATTTGACATTCAAAGTTGAAAAAAAGGCAAAGACTGGTAGGATCTGAGTCCAGAAACCTCCTACCAGCGAGAAGACTAAGTGTCATCTCTCGCCCATGTATACAACAAAATCATAAAATGCTTAAAGTAGAGAGGCATTCCTGAAAGCTAGCTGCATCTTCCTATGTAATTTCACCCAGAAAATTCCTTTTAGTGATACTCTGGTCATGTATGAACACAGCATGGACTCATTGTATGAAGGAAGCCCATTCAATGTTTTAAAAAATACTTATTTTTTACTTTATGTGTATGAGTATTTTACCTACATGTATGTGTATCATACCACGTGTGTGCCTGGTTCCCACAGAGGCCAGAAAAGGGTATTAGATCCCCTGAAAATAGATGGGCAGTTTTTGGCCTCCATGTGGTTGCTTAGACGTGAACCTATGTCCTTTGCAAGAGCAGTAAGTATTTTTAACCACTAGGACATTTCTCCAGGCCATAAAACACTCTTTAAAAATATTAACATTTTATTTCAATTTGTGTTTTTATCTTTAAAGCTTTTCATGCAATTCATTTTATCATATTCTCCCCCCTCCAATTCCTCCTCGGTCCTCAACTCCTCCCTCCCACGCAAATTCAAAAAAAAAAAACTTTTAAAGATTTGATTTTACTAAATGTTTCTGTGTCTTCAATTTGTTGATTCCTGCTTCTTCATCTAACCAGCATTTATAGAACCACTATGTATTTTCATAATCATAAAACACATTCTTCCTTTAACCATCCAGAGAGAAACCCATGGTTAAAAACACAAATTCAACACCGCCTGCTTTCTCTTGCTCCTGTCCCCCTCTGTCCTCTCCAGGCTCAGAGCTGCTTACCTGAATTACTCCTCCCAAGAAGGAAACTGCTGCTGCAACCCCGATTCTCTGTAGCTCAAAGTCAGATAAGCCCAGCACACTGAAGTTGTTCTGTGTGGTGAGGTTCCTGCTGCTTTGAGGGACTAGCCTTTCAACAGCATTGGCTGATATCAAGGATGTCAAGGCAAAGGTGCCTGAAAATGAGAATGTAATTAGAAAACGTCCATGCAAACATTAAAGTTATTGGATTCTTTCATGATTGGTGAAAAGGTAACAAGAGCTATTAGAAAGATGCTTTACCCCAGTGTACGCCATTGCTCTGCCTTTCACCCCACCCCATGAAAGAAACAGTACATCTGACTTGCTTCGATGCCCACCAAGCCACCATGTCTTTCTGAGTTGTGCACTTTCCCAACTCTCTGAATAGAGAATATCTAAGATGCAGGATTGTGGCCTAGATTTACATCCAGCCCTTCAACATACCTACAATGCCACCTAAAGTACATCACTCTGGGTCTAAATTGCCTTATCCACTGAAGATACTAGTACCCAGACATTAGGGTTTGAGGAGACTAAAAGGAGAAAAGCTTAAAGAGCTTAATGGATAACTATAAACCTGCTGGCTAAAACATAAGGTCCTCTGACCTACTAAAACAAGGTCTTACCTTCCAAGATGCAGCCCAAATTCTATAGTCTTCCTCACCAGACTATATGCTTTCTACCTGCTATGATTTCATAACTGAGTAGACTTTATTTTCAGCAACAAAATGCCAACGTTCACAAAATGATTAAACCCACCATGCCAACCATGTTTGTCTACTGCTATTAGGTTATTTCCTCAGAATATTCGCAGCCTTGTTTATAAGCAGGACTTTGCTCAATATGTTCTCCTCTTCCTTACAGGAGCTCTATCTAATGCCTTTCTTCTTGACATAGCTTACCTGAGAATGCAGCATCATGGAAGAGAAATGCTAATTCCCACAGGAAAGGGTAAAGAAACACATGCTGTGTTGTGCAAGCATTCCCTCATGTCATCACTTTGTCCCAGTTTGTGTGTAAGCCTTTGGTAAAAGGTACTCTACGGGATACAGGCAACTTATCTCACACAAGATAAGGCCAACAGAACCTGGTCTCCGTGGAAACCCAGCACACTATCTTCTATTCTTACCAGAGTAGAGGGTTAGAGAAGAGCTGTGGTACACTCTGTGAGTTTAGGACAATATGGGAGTATGGATCCCAATGGACTTGGACTTAAATCCCTTAACTATTTCCTTGATCTACTTGTCTACAAAAAGCACATTCTTCATCCTTTGACATTTTTAAAAGGCTTAAATATCATATAAATATATCATAGTTAGCATCAAATGGCATGTTGTCAACACCCACTAAGTGCCAACCACTCAGCTAAATCTTAGTGAGACTGAGTTAGTAATGCTGTTATGGCTGTACTCTGTTCTCTGAGCAGTTATGGTACACAAATACATAGAAAAAAATCAAGTATTAGTCTCTCTGTGATCTAGGTATTCTTTATAAATCAATAGACATTGTGATAAAAAGTAAATTAGAAACAGAGTAACAGTTAGAGACAAGATTCTAGCACCCAGATGGATAACTCTGAGATCAAATCAGATAAGAAGTGTAAGAGCCATACCTTGAGGCCTTTAAACTCCCCCCAAACAGAGACCAGTATGCTTTCTACTGAAGTCATAGAACAGATAACTGCAGATGTTAAAAGAAAAACAAGTGCAATAACGTTTTAGTTTAGGATTCTATTCCCTGGCACTTTTTAGAAGATAGGAAGGAACTGAAAATAAGACAGAAGAAGCCATCTGAAAAGTGTGTCAGATCCAAGATCCACTCTATCGATCTTTCGGCGAATGCTTATTTGTATATTTTTTGAAATGGCATCCTACTGAGTTTTTCTAAATTTCTCTAAATTGCTGAATATTTAAATTGCTGAACATGTAAATCTAAATTGTTGAACATCTCAAGGAATTTTCTGATTTTGAGACGAATAAAGAATAAATTAAGAACAGAATCTAGGCATATCTAAAGGCTGTGCCATTCTAGAGCCTTCATCCAGTGGCTAACAGAAGCAGAGTCAGACACCCACGGCTAAACAGTGAAGTGAACTCCTGGAACCCAGTTGCGGAGAGGAAGGAGTGATGAGCAAAGGGGTCAAGACCGGGCTGGTGAAATCCACAGAGACAGCTGACCTGAACAAGGGGGAACTCATGGACCCCAGATTGATGGCGGAGAGGCCAACATGGGACTGATCCAGCCCCGCGAATGTGGGTGTCAGTGAGGAGGCCTTGGCAATTTATGGGGCCTTACATAGTAGATCATTATTTATGCATTATGTATCATATACAAATGAATTTGGGGAGCCCATTCCACATGGAGAGATGCTCTCTCAGCCTGGACACATGGGGAAAGGCCTAGACCCTGCCCTAGATGATATGACAGATGTTGGAGATCCCCCATGGAGGGCCTCACCCTCCCTGGGAAGGGGAGGGGGTATGGGGTGAGGCACTGGGGTTATTGGAGGGCCAGGGGAGGAGGGGAGGGAGAGGGAGCTGGGATTGATATGTGAGGCAAGCTTGTTTTTAATTTAAATTAAAAATATTAAAAAGAAGAGACAGTGAGACACATGTTGATTGTCTTAAACAATTTGGTTTCTATCAGGATCATTCACAGATTTATTTTTCTCTTTTCTAGTTCAAGGGATGAATTATTTGTTTCTTTTCCATGACTTCTGTGCGTCACAATTATATTGTGTGCAATGGTATTTAAAATATATTTTAAGTAATCATATTTTGAATTAATCATAAAAATTCAAATTGCTAAATAAACTAGCACATTCAACATCTTTACACAATTGCTTTTCAAAGATATTTGAACTCAATTCCACTGATACTGCACTAGAATGAGCCTGTTAATGGCCAACCATGAATGGTTGGGAGGGACTCAAGAGGTGCCCTCCTACTTCACTTGTGGCCAGGATGAACTATAGGAATTGGGGAGTCACTGCCATCATTTGAACAACCACTGGTGAACCCCATAAGCTCCAGTGGAGAATTCCAAGTTCATACTGACGGTTCCAATTATACATACTGCTTCTTAAATCAAAAACATGAATACAGCACAAGGATGTGAAAAGAGTGTTTTTATAGGGAGAAAAGGAGACAATGAAGGATGGAAGGGCAAGAAGTAGTCAGAATGCATTGTTTACATATATGAAAATGTCAAAAAACAAATTTAATTTTAAAAATGATTCTTGTATAATGTCTTATCATGCTTGGTAATTTGATCTTGCATTCTGAACACCTAACTGGGAGGGTAAAGCCCAAGATAAGGTACTTTCCTTTAACAATAGTAACTGGTCTCTTAATAAAGTCTCAGGGAGAATAAATATCCCACCTACACCAAAATATGATCAAATAAAAGAGATATATTATTTGTATATTAAATATACATGGACATCTTTAGAGATTCAAGGACCCTTATGGTCAAAATCACAGGACAATCCCAAAAGTCATTTTTATAGTTTCCCTGTCATTTATACCATGAGGGAAAGCATCACCTATTTGTTGCTAGTGCTAATGACTTTAATATTAACTTTCAACCAAAATAGGAAGGTCTGGCAGGCTCTGAGAAGTATAAATTCAAAAACAGAATGTCACAACACTTATTGTACAGTAGAATGACTGTGAAGTTTGCGAAATGTATATTTTGACACATCTATAGCTGTTAATAACTTATTAAATAAGTTTTACATAATAGTAAGAGTCTTACATAAATTGTAATTTTGAAACTATGCAACCAGTAGAACATCTACAGTAAGTACCTATGAAATGCAATGGTTTATGTAATTATACATCTCAGTATAATCAAATTATGTATTTTTAACTTGTTTTGAGACAGGAGTTCACTTTGTGATCCAGACTAAGCTAGAACTCACTATGTAGCTCAAACAGGACTTGAATTCCTGTTTCATAGAATTCCTGCTGAAGCCTCCCATGTGCTGGGATTATGAAGGTTAACTGACATACATGACATACATGACGTTGACTTCTAGACTAATTTTAGTCTTTTGGGAAATTTTGTTTGCCTTTTTCTTTTATCTTGGGTCAAACAGAAGAAATGTCCATGAAGTCAATTCTAAAACCTTTTGTTCTTTCTTGCCATAGACATATTTAAATAGTCTGTGACAATATTAGAAGGCAGAACAACTTAAAAGCAATAAGGTTTAAGAATTCCTGGTTGTGTAAAGTAGTTTACATCTGTAATTCTAACAGTCCAGAGGCTGAGTTAGGAGGACCATTAGTGAAACCCTGTTTTAAATAACAAATAAGAAAATACTGAAGAAAACAATTTTTAATTCATTCTGTAATTTTCTCCTTTTGTATCTTTATGGAAGAAAACTCTCATTCAATGAATATTCCAAAACATTTTGCTGTCAAGAAACAAATGATAATTTGGGTTCCAGACTTAGCACATCTGAGGTGTAAGTTGTATGTTTGTGATTTTAATCTGTGCTGTTATTAGAAACTTTGTGTGTTTTTCCTAGTTCACCTGAAATGTATATATAATACAAATTAATGTCCACTTTAAAGGGCTGCATTAAGACAAGAACATGTAAATCTCTTTAAGTATATGCATAGCTCTGAAACATACACATATATATGTACATGTGCACACACAGGAACACATATGATATATATATATGTATATATATATATACTATTTATCATAAAAGTAGAGACACATTTTGAGAATTAATTAATTCATCGTGGCCAATTTCACTTTTATATGCACATCATAGTACCCTTACCCAAACTACATCAACTATGGTACCAAGTGTGATATAATATTATAAACCACAGTGTTATGCAATGTGCCATATTTATATTTTTTAAATATTAGAAACAATCTTATTTTACATATCAATTCCCCCATTCCCTTGCACTCCCATCCTCCCATGCCCCTCACAGACCCCCTCCAAGCTACCCCCACCCACTCCCTAAGGATAGTGGGCCTTCCACGGGGGATCATCAAAGTCTGTCACATCCTTTGGGGGAGGACCTAGGCCTTCTTTCAAGTATCTGGGCTGCAATAGCATCCCTCTATAGGGAATGGGCTCCCAAAGTCCATTTTTGTGCTAGGGATAAACACTGGCTCCACTGTTAGAGGTCTCATAGACTACCCAGAACTCCTAGTTGGCACCCACATTCAGAGGGCTTGGTTCGGTCCAATGGTGGTTCCCCAGCTTTATGACTTGGGTCTCTGTGCTCTCCCTAGGTCAGGTCAACTGTTTCTGTGGGTTTCTCCAGCATTGATGGCTACCTTGGTTGCCATCCTAGAGCTTTCATTCAATAGCTGATTGAAGAAGAAGCAGGCACCCACCGTTAAACACTGAGTCATACTCCTAGAATCTAGTTGTAGAGAGGGAGGACGGATGAGCAAAGGAGCCAAGACTGTGATATGCCATTTTTGTTGACTGAAATGTGTCATTATGTAAAGATGTGTGTGTGTGTGTGTGTGTGTGTGTGTGTGTGTGTGTGTAAAACCTCTTGTGAAAATGCCAGTTCTAATTCAGCATGTCTTTAGTGGAAGCCAGTATCTTTGCATACCTAACAAGCTCCCTCAGAATACCGAGTCACAGATCACTTGTCAGGTGGCAAGTCTGTAATGACTGCTAACTTTTGCTGTCTTACTCATAACAAAGTTTAGTGATGTAAAAACCAAATTTATGCAAGTACAAATCATTTTATGAAAAATCATATATATATGCAAAAATATAGCTTCCCAAGATTTCAATCCTAATTTTCAGAATCCAGAAATAAGCTTCTTCTATAGCAAGAAATCATAAATATAGCAGGTGAAATTAAGTTCACTAGTCAGTTGGTCTTAAAATATAATTATCCTGGACTGTCTGGATATAGACTGTGAAATCACAGCATCTTGTAAAAACAGAAGACAGAGGCAAGAGAGTGGAGTCAGAGAGAGACCTGAAGATGCCACCACTGGTCTTGAAAACTATTGAAAATCCAGGAATCCAGAAATGCAGGAAGCTTCTAGAAGACAGAAAAGTCAGGAAAATGAGCTGAAGCACACAGAAAGAAACACAGCCTCACTGACTGCTCATTTTGGGGTCTGGAACACTTATTCAGAGCACCGAGCTCCAGAACTATAGAATTAACTTCCTCGGTTTCAAGTCACTTATCTTGAAATAATTTGTGACAGTAGGAAAGTAATACAACCACTAACAAACTGACCACAGGTGACAGATTATAAATGTTATTCCTCAGAGCCTTAGATCTCTCACAAAATGAATAGCAATGTCTGCAGATATTTACGTTGAAATATATTTTGCCATTAGCTGAATATTTAAGATTAAGGTGTCATTTTCTAATAGGAAAACTCAATAAATGTTGCATTAATATAAGTAAGCATTAAATAAAACTCAATATACTAATTGTGTAGCTCTTACTATGGAATGGGGAAGAGGTCATCTTATTTAAAAAGTAACAACTAGAGTTTCAAAATTTTGCCCAGGGTCATGCAGGTGATGACCAACAAATGAGGCATGTGCTTAGGTGTAGCTCACACAAAAATGCAGCCTGCTCTATCATCAAGATACTCATGACTAGTCACCTTTTGTATTCATTTTTGTGTTTCTCAGAGGTACAGAGTGAGGTAGGGCAAAACATACTAGGTAAGCTGGACCACTGTGGCACATGCCTTTAATCCCAGCACTCAGAAGGCAGAGGCAGGTGGATCTCTGTGAGTTCAAGGCCAGCCTGGTCTACAAAGCAAGTTTCAAGAAAGCCAACAATACACACAGGGAAACCCTATCTTTAAACAAAGCAAAGCAAAGCAAAAAACAAAAACAAAAACAAAAACAAAGCAAAAAGATACACCAACTAAAGGGTCCTGTAGAGTCTACCTAAAGGAAACATATCATTTAGTTCAAGAACCAAAGGAATATACCCAAATTTTTTTCAATATTTGACCAACTAAACATTATAGTCTTTGTTTTCTTTCAAATTTTTACATTCTCTTATTCCATTGTAAACTCAGCAATGTTTCTATTTTCAGTTTCTTTTTAGCACAGGAATATGACAATAAATGACAGTATCTATCTAATAAATAAGCATACCCCACATATATCAGTAGGGTAGAATGGTTTTGAAAAGGTAAGCAAGAGCTAATAACCACCCTGAGTCCATTTTGTTAGTTATATAAGAAGCTTAGGCATAGACACTAATTATTACCTGTGGCAACATGGCGTCCCATTCCAAATATGGCATAAATGATGGCTGGAAACAAAGATCCATATAAACCAAAAACTGGGTGTACAGATGAAAGAATAGCGAAGGACAGCCCTGTGAAGAAGTCCAGAATAGTTAGGACCATCTCATCTCATTTCCTCAAGATACAGTACACAATAAAGCAAAGACTAATGCATAGAAAGCCAAACTGAGTATTTTTGAAATATTCTTTTTTTTTTTTTTTTTGGTTTTTCGAGACAGGTTTCTCTGTAGGTTTAGAGACTGCCCTAGAACTCTCTTTGAAGACCAGGCTGGCATCGAACTCACAGAGATCCACCTGCCTCTGCCTTCCTAGTTCTGGTTTTGAATGCGTGTGCCACTGCTGCCCAGCTATTTGAATTATTCTACTCGTCAGCAAAACAAGTACTAGTTTTGGGTGAGTACAGCAACAGGGCCAAGACACAATCCTATCCACTTTCCACTCACTGAACCCATACTGTGTGTCAACTACAGGTTCTTAGAGTGACAAAAAAAAACCTCGACTTTGCTTATTCAGTGAGTACATAAACTATAACTCACAATGGTTCATCATTATTGTTCATGGGCACTAAAGTATACATGGTTTGTGTGTTGTACTACTCTTCTTTTACAATAACCTTCTGTCTGAGGTGACCAGAAAGTGACGCAATCTCTACTGGTGAGAAAGAGAACAAGTTATCAGACAAACAGTGATTTCTACATTAAGGACATGCACTTTGACTTCAGTTTTAGAGCAGTTTGTTTGACATCAGCATAAAAAGGAAAGGCTGTGTCCAGAAACTGAGTAATTCAGGACTGGGCACAGGTATTATAATTACACCTGTAAAGTCATTCTATTAGAGGTGTTACATTTTTAAGATCTGTAGATGCTCGTTTAATGACCCTACATTATAATTGAAAGGTCAAGCATCCAGAACTCAGAATCACAGCTTTGTTTCCCTCTGGCATTATAGTATATTTTATAGGTTTTAGTTCTTATTATTGGCTCTAATGAGAGCTAATACAACCCTGAAAACAACAGCTAAAACAGCTTATTCACAATGGAATGCACTATGCCCAAACTGTCCATCCTTATCACAACACCTTTAGTTATCATCATGGGGTGACTTGTGGCCCTCATATAAGTAAATCCTAACCCTCAGAATGTTGAATAAATATTGAGACTATGATCATTATGGAACCTACTTTAAATAATTTTTTTTGTAATGTGGGTAGGTGCTAACTCAATTCGAATGGTATCATTTAGAGAACATCTTATGAAGAGCAAGAGAAATACACCCAAATGCCAGATAAAGACAGAAGTATAAATTGGGGTATTGTTTATTTTTGCCAAAAGAATACTAAGGACTGTGAAAAAACACTAGAAGTAATGAGAGAAACATGGAATCAGAAGGATTCAATCCTAGTGACACCTACATTTGAGACTTTTAGACTTCAAAACTATGAGTCAGGGATTCTATGATGCTTTTCAGTAACAGCCCCATGAAAATCACACAGTGTCATCGTTTGGAAGGGGACAAAAGCTGAAGGTAGTTGGCAGTAGGTACTCAACCTCACATTTGAGCAAAGTCAAAATTCTTGTTCTTGATAAATACTGAATAGCAAAATCTTCAGATTTCTATTCCATAACTCATGAATCTTCGCAAGTTCCTTTAAATTTTGTGTTTTGAGTAAGTGTGGAGAGGTTATGGGGCTAAATGTAAAAACGATCCTTGGAATGTGTGTGTGACCAGTGCTCAGATAGGGAAGATGAAACCTCTTTCCATCTCTGACTTGTGATGCCATAATTAGAGCTGTGTGCTCGAGACTCGGCATGGGAAACTTTAAAGAAATGTAAGCCAAAGTGGATCCACAGTATTTGGAACAGTGGCCAGTATGTAAAAGTGTTAGGGACATGAGTTTCCACTTAAGTAGCAATGTTTAACTGTCTTTAGTTAAACAGCATTGTCTTAGTCCTGTCCATTTCTAAAAAGAAATGGCAGCAGCCCATCAGGAACTCTGAATGCCCAGTTCATAGAAAACCCTTGCAGCTCCTGGTCTCCTGTTCCTCTTCACTGAGTCTAGCCTGAGCTCTATTAAAGCTTTAATGTGTGTGTGATGAGAACTATGAAGCCAGGCAATCTAAAGGATTTGAGATTTTTATTTTAAAATCAAAGTTGTTAACTTTAACTTAACAACTTATGTCACTTGATAAATCATAACACTAGTCGAACAGTACCCTTTCAGTAAAGATAATTTACATAAGTAAAGCTAACCAGTGGCCAAAGCTTACTCATTTCTTATAAAAAACTGGAATTTGGGAAGTGGTAGATTGAGTTAAGCAGCACTGGTAGTATTTTCAAATTAATCCAGGACTCCTCCTGAAGCCAGGCCAGCCCTGGCAGGCTGAATGCCTCCTACCAGTCAGCATCTCTTAAGAGCTTTCAGCATAAGCAACTTTTAAAAAAGAATCTCACTGGCCTATGGATGGATGGGTGGGTGGGTGGGTGGGTGGATAAACAGATGACAGACAGATGACATTCTCATTCCAGGAAATAAGGGTTGAATTCTGTGTGTGAGAGTTTGGAATATGGAGAAAATACAACAATGGAACACGAAAAAAGGATATGAAGAGTCCATCCCATGCTACATATCACACTCCAGTTGCCTTTTCAGTGAGGTTGTAAGGACAATGAAAAGTGAGGATGTGTGTGTCTGAGGAGCTTCCTCCTTCAGAAAGAGGAAGTAGGGAAACCATCTCGTGGAATAGGAGATATGTGTAAGGTGATTTTTCCCTCTGCCTCTGCCCTTCCATTTCCTTTCTACCTCCTCTTTCTTCCAACCTTTCTTCTGATCTATTTCACCATATTTCATGTTTGCTTTGATTTGGGACTAAGTGAAAACATCTGGAATATTTTAACATTGAGGCAGGTGAAGGTAAGGATCTGGAATCACCACAGCTATACTGTCCATTTTCTTTTCAGTATCACTCTTACTGTGTTTTTATTTACACAGCAATTACCTTCATATTTATTATTTTTGTATGTGTGTATGCACATGTACATATGTGTGCATTGAGCATTGAGATCAGGGAGGATATCAGCACTGGGTTCCATCTTTTTCTACTTTAATTTTTTAGACAGTGTTTCTCATTGGGTCCTGGAGCTTCCTGATTTGTTACCTCTATCCTGCCTCTGGAAGGATAAACCCACACTAAAGCATGGGTCCTAGGGATGGAGCTCAGTACCTCATGCTTGAACAGAAGCAGTCTACCCACTGAACTAGCTCCTTTTTTGTTTGTTTGTTGAGACAGGATCTTCCAGCATCACTCTGGATATTCTGAAAACTCACTATATAGACCTAGCTGGCCATGATGTCACAAAGATTCACCTGCCTCTGCCTCTCTAGTGCTGGGTGAGCTATCACTTGCAAGCCCTTAAATCTCTTAATTGTGCTACATCATGTTGTAGTTCTATAGTATACAGTGAGAAATGCCAACCTGATATTTTAACCTCACATATGTAGTTTATAGTAACATAAATATTATATACTTTATGAGATAACTAAACATTCAGACATATGACTTGATCCTAAGAAAGGAAAAATATCTACACTGATTATTGAGTGATTAATTATAATGGGCCAATTATGAGGAGAAAATGGCTAAGGGTGGGGTTGAGATCACTTTACACAGAAGAAAAATGTTTAAAATATGAAATACTAGCAAATAGTTTCCTTGGTTTCTGGGATAGAAAGCTGTTTAATATGTTCCTGATATGGAAAATGGTACTTCACATGGTACAGGGTCTTATGCATGAAGGCAAGTGTTATGATCATGTCTGTGATTCTGGAGGATAGAAGTTTGAACCTTCAGGAGCTCCTTGTCCTACAACTTCCTCAGTGCTAACTAGAAAAAAAATTTGCAGGCCAGGAGATTGCATCTTCAGTCCATAACTATGTCCCTTACATGGTGAACTTCATTCTTTTTGATATTCCAAGAGACACAGTCAACCAAAAGGGGGAGAGAGAGAGAACTTGCCTCTCATTTAAAGTAAGAATGATGCCATTGTTTGAGGAGTAAGAGAAGTGTTTGATTAACAGGGGTTTCCTGGGAAAACAACGGTCTTACTTACCTATTATGACTATGATTCAGAAGGCCTGCCCAATCCTATGGACCTACACAGGAACTTCAGCAGTACATAGAGCTCCCACTGGAGAAACTGTCTGCTTAAGTCTGAAAAAAACTGCTAGTACCTCTGCATCCTGGACTAAGCCAGCAAAGAAGCTACTATCCCTTCCATGGCTTCTTTGTTCCTCCTGGAGACCTTAGCAGCCCTCAAAACTCTGACCAGAACTAACTCCAGGACTTTCAGAGTGGTCAATGAAAAATATCAGATGAAAATGAATGAGAACTAACTGCAGCTGAAGGAAAATGATGGGCTCAGATGTAGGGCCATGTGTTAAATTGAAAGATGCATAAATTTTCCTTAATTTATAACATTTTATTATATATGCAAATGGGAGGGTACAATGCAAAGGGAAAAAATGGAGGCAAGAGGACAACTTGTGAGCATCTATGCTCTCCCTCCACCATGTGAGTCCTAGAGATGGAACACAAGTCATCAGGCCTGGAGGCAAACAAGCACCTTGATCCACTGCACTGTCTTAATAGACTTCAATCTATAAGTTAAAAAAATGACTAGGAAGGGATATGTCGGAGAACTTGGAGGGAGGAACATGATGCAGTTACAGTATCAAAAATTAAAAAATTATAAAAAGTACAATGAGAATTTCAAGGAGACATGTTAGAAATAGCAACAAAATATACAACTTTTTAATGTTAAAAATAATAAAAGGCTTTTAACAGGTATGCTTTACATGCTAGAAGCAAATTACTGTTAATATTGTATCTAGAAAGATACAGTCTCTAACTAGCCAGGCCTGGGTCACTTCTTGTTCTTGATGGCAGATAGCATTGGCTTACAGGAACCAGTACCTCAAAGTGGAAGAGGAATGGTTACCCACAGTGGCAGTAAAATGAAAACATGTGGGTAAGAAATACTACCATAGGCGTGCAACTTCATATAGAGGCCTGG